TTCAGTTGAAACTGGGGTATTTATTTTACTGAAAACCAATCATGTCCCCACCGCCTTCAAATGGAAACCTGTGTTCCTCATATGCATCCAAGTGTTATGTTCCTGATAGCTAACGGTAGCCCCTAAGATTAACCCTTTCACTATGGGAAGACCTGCTAGCTTTAGACAGGGAAACAATTCGCACCCCATATTGTGCCTATAAACAAATACATCAACATATGTGACACACAAACGCGCACACACACACACACACACACACAGGCAGAATATCTGTTGCCATCTTATTCTAGCCTTTAATGTGGATGGAGACAAGATGGAGGTATGTCTATATTCAGATACATATACAGACATATTATACATATTTACAAATAATGCTATATTACTAATAATAATTGATAACTTAGCGGTTAAGCTTAATAAATATATAACCTGAGAACCTGTATTGATTACATAGGAGAACTTCTTGTTATTGAGGTATTGCTATATGACATGTATCGCTGAACTAGATGACTATAGTGAACTTTTTTTTTTTTTGGGTCATTTTTCCTTCTGTGCGGGTTGTTCCAGACATGGTATGAATGAAGGCTGCAGCAGAGATTGATTTTAAGTTTAATGCTGAATGTGTAGAAATGGACTAGACTGAGGGTTACATCTTTACACTGAGCAGGGGGCTAGAAATCCAGTGAGTAACTACCCAGTAACTACCCAGCTTGAGAGGTTTTCTTTTAGTGCAGCAGCTGAACTGGATGTACAGAATATGGAAATGTTCCTGTTCTGCAATGTGTAAATTAAAATTTAAAGGTGCTGCACTTTTATATTTTAAGTATGAAATCTAATTTTCCTGTCCAGAGTGACCTCGACTCAGTGCTTAAAATCACCAAACGGCTTGAATTCCCCAAAATACTTACTGAAGATCATTATGGTCAATTAGAGCAAATTGTTAAAGGAGGGAAGTGCTGAGAACAGAAATGTACCGATAGAGATCTTCAAAACACAGCATAGTCTAGCTCAGTGAATAAATAGAAAAGGGTCCTAAAACTTGACTTCATGCCTCACTAGATTTTAGACAAACACATTTAAAATGCAGATCCCGGGTCAGTTTTGCTGATCACTCAGCAGCGGTTTTGGGGATTGCTGGTAATGAGCCCTTGTCTGGAACAACTCAGGTAATAGCTTCTTTGAGGGATCGTATTACTACTACTCCTAGTATTATGATGAATATGATGACGATAATGATTGCTATCTATTGACTATTTCTATTTCTTCTCTATATGCTATTGATATATGTATGTTAATTGCAATGTATAACTCTCTTTATATATGTATCCATGTATGAATATAATAATTGACAGTAAATATGCGTCTGTGTATGCAGCAGTGCACAGCTCTGTCTGGGAGGCAGTGAGCAGGAAACGTCCAGCTTTAATGTAAGGCTGTTGAGTTTTTAATGCTACAGGTGGCGACGTCACTTATCAGCTACCAACAGCTGGAGGTTATCTGTAGTACGAGACATTTTACGTAGTACGGCAGACCTGCTGTTTGTTGGCCTTGGGGGGGAAAAAAAAAAAAAAAAATAGTTGATGATTGAAGTTTACAGTGTATATATACTGTTAGCTGTTTGCCCTTTGCTGTGTTGGTCCTACAAACAGAGCTCGCTGCTCACTGCCTGTGCTGTGCGTTTTTGTTTAAATTGATTCACCAGGCAAAGACAGATCTGGAAACAAAAGCATACATAGTAGCCTATATACTCCCGTATAGCGCCTTATTCGATATACTACACCTATAAGATGATACATACCCCTATTGTATAATCCTGCTTACTATATACAGTATATGATACCTGATACCTATTATAATATTAGACACCCTTATAAGGTAATTTAGATAAGAGATGGTGGAGCTGTTTTTTTTTTTTTTTTCTTTCTGTGGCTGTGGAAAAGTTTGCTGTGGTCAGTAAAGTGTTTCCATCTTGTTTTTTAGGGTGTTCGGAGAGTGCTGCACACTCAAATGCTCCTCATCATTCAATTATTGTCATATCAGGATATTTGCAAAGCAGCTGGAATTAAAAATGTACTTGGTAAATCTTAATTTTGTCTGAAAAAGCTGTCGGTGGTAAAGAACCCAAAGTTGAAATTTAATTTTAAAATTCCAGTTGGCTTCATTCATTCATAAAATTTTGAATATGGCTGGCATTTTTATACACATTAGTGAGTGAAAAGTCGGGGAAAAAATGTCCATCCATTTTTAAATCCCTGCCTTGTAAGACACGTTGGAGTAAACTGTAAAATAAAATTTAAAAATAAAGCAGCAGAGCAGTTGCGGACAGGCTCCTCCTTACATTGTTGGAGAACGGCCAGCGTTAATTATGTAACTGACGCACAGAAAAAAAAGAAAGAAAACTGGATAGCTGTACTGCATGTTCTGTGTGTGTGTTGTCAGAAGCAGGGGAATCATGACACAAACTCAAGGAGAGACAAGTTTCTGCTACTGTATCTGTACACGTGACAGATCTCACGTACAAATTCGTCTACATTAGCTCAGGTTTTCTGTCTTAAACTTGTTTACCCGTCTGACAAAAGTGTCTTTTGTCTTAATCTGACTTGTAGATCAGTCCTGGTTATTACATCCTGCTGCGGTTTAATGAAATGACACGGTTCTTAACTGTGAGATAAGTTTCTGCTCAACAGATATCCACGTGGCACATGTTGCCTTTCCCCTCTTGACCCCCAATACAGTTTGTGTCATTTGATCCCCAGCACCAACACACACCCACACAGCCACAAAAGAATCTTAATTTATCGGTTTTCAATCAGTTAGAAATGATTGGTTATTTGGATTGTTTTCAACAACTCGGATGAGGGAACCAGGGTTGTAAGAAGTGGAAAAAACAAGGCCTCTTTTTGTACTGTATTTTTACATTTCGTTTTGTTTCGTTTTATCTTCTTGACTTTGTTTTCTCTTTTCTCCTCCCTGGTTGGACATTCATGATCACATAAGTGGACCAAATCTCTTGAAAGCATTTAATAAACAGACTGTTTTAGAAAAAAATAGTTGTATGTGTTAATTGATGCACAGAATTCACATTATAGGACCCTGACATGAAATGTTACTGATATTATTACAACAATTATTCATCTTGAGTTCAGTTTGTGAATGTTATTCTAAACACTATAGTCCAAAGTTTAATGTGAAGCCTGACTTAGACAAATAGTGCTTATATATGGAAAACATTTGTAAACTATAGACTTAAGGAATCTCTTAACAGCTGCTTTGGACAGTAGAAATTATTAAAACAAGCAAAAACAATTTCAGTGTCCAAATGTGCCCAAATGAGATTTACTAATAAACTCATACACGGTCGGTTTATGGGTCAAATCATAAATACCCCTAGTGGTATCTACCTATGCACATATACTGCACATACACCAAATGTATGTGGACAGCTGGCCATCACACCCATATGTACTCTAGACTTTCCACACTGGAGCCTGGACAGTGATGGTGGTTTGGGGAGTGATGTTGGGCGGTAAGGTGCGGGGGAGGTCTGTGCAGACCAGTCAAATACACAGAACTAAGTGTCCACATACTACTGGCCATTTAGTGTAGCTTTTGGGTTTATCCTCAAATTCTCTGTTTAAAATCCTAATAATCCACAGACCAATGGTAGAAGCAGCCTTGCACGTGTAAATGCACTGCAACACAAACACAATACACAGGCTGCTCTTCAGTCTGGGTACCGACTGTCGGATTTTGTGCATTTTGTTTAACTTACTTTTTTTTTCTGGGGTCATGTTGCCCAGTTCTCGGGTTAGAGTTACAGGATTAGGGCATTTAGGACCCTGGGAACATAAAGCCCTCTGTTTTCTCATGAGCTGTCAGACTTTCTCGTGCCGGCTCGCTGGTATGTCTTTCAGGCAAATGAGTAGTTATTAATGTGTTTAACTTCACCTGTGCTCTCCCTGCTCCGACACGTCTGACATAGCACGTGTGTCCTCTTTATACACGTGCATTATGCTATGTAAAAGTAAATCATCCATGGTGGACGATTAAAAAATAAAATTCTAGTTGGGACTTGAAATCCATGATTGCTTAACCCATAAGAACCCAGACCCATTTCTCCTTGAATGAAAATGATGGGGGATATACCACAGAACAAGTGGAAATTCAGAACATATTTTCTTTTTTTTTCTTTTTTTTAAATTGCTCAATATTTTGTTTGTTACATATAAGTCACACTGGGGCGTTTATGGTAAATAAATATCTTTATTAACTACCTAAATAATTTCATAAATAAAAATCATTTTGTGTTATTATTTCTCAAATATACTTCTAAATTGAAACAACAGGAGCATATATTAATCCTAAATAATGGCAAACAGTGAAATTAATTGAGTGGACTATTACCTTTTGTTATTGTGACACAGACAAACTGGACTATTTAAAGCATTAGAATTGTTGAATGGGGTTTAAAACTTACCTTAGTAACAAAAAACAGCTTTGGTGAATTTAGCTACTTTGATTCTGTCATTTGTCATTTCAGTCACACCCCCAAAAACCACTTTGGAGAGACACTTGCTGTCGGCAGTCATATGACCACCACAACCACGGATGTTTTGGTATATTGTCATTAGCGGACTTAATGAGTTAAGGTCAAGCATAAAGCTGTATATGAAAGATTCAGGACATTTAAAGTGTTTGTGGTTCTTATAACCATCTTGTTCCCTATACATTGAGTGTTCCTGTGCGCCCTACAGCCTCACTTTAATTGAATATCTGTAATTTATTGGTGATATTTTCACTTTTTAACACTCCTTTTCGTGTAGACAGCCGAGTCGGGAGGAGCTACAGGTGGTGTGAGTAACTGATTATTTTATATTGTTTTATTACCCGCCGCGTTACATAATAACGGCCTACTTTTAAGGTCTCCACCTTTTCTTTTTTCTTTTTTACTTTAGATAATCTCGACGTTGCTCGTGATTGGCTGTGACTGCTGTGACGGAGCAACCAATCGGCGCTCGATCCGTAGATTCCTTGAGGAACGCGGGCTTCTGATTGGCTGCGCCGAAGCTGAAGGGGCGGATCCGCGTTAAGTAACTGCTCCAGAGTTCGTAGTGTGTGACCCGTGTGAGGTTTGATATTCCCAGCACTTTGTAGGAGCTGTCAGGCCCGTGTAAGCCTCAGTCGGCCTCCTCAGCTGCTTCTGCTCCTACTAACTGTGACCTGCTGACAGCTCTCAAACATCTGTCCACCTATTTGCTATTTAAAGGGGGAAAACATGACTACAGAGATCCCGGAGATCTTCAGGGCTCTTCTGGAGCATCCATTCACTCTCCCGAACTTTGATGAGAATGGTAAGTGGCTGTCAAATCAAACAGTAAAGTGTGTTTTGTTTGAGTTTTTGATTCAAGTTACATGCAGCACCGTGACTCAAGAGTTTGTTTTGTTTTTTGTTCGAAGAAGAGGAATGAACAGTTTCTGTGTATCAGCAAAAAACTGCGTGTTTGTTGCGTAATCCCTGTCAGCTGAGTTGAAGTGGTGACTGTGCCAGAGGCTGGACTGCAGGGATCTGCTGTTGCCTGGCTTTAGTTGTAATCCAAAGGTTAGCAGAGTGAATCATAAGCAGTGTTTAGGGTTTTCAGTATTTTGTCAGCACCTTTTCAAAATAAAACCATCTTTAGTAGCCGTGGAGTCTGGAGAGACATAAAGTAAGATACACTTTATTAATTGCACAAATAAACAACTTCATTTGCTGCAGAAGCTCAAGAGTCAAAAGTAAAAGGAAAATAGTTACTGAAAATACAATATAAATACAAACTATATTCACATTTTACTTATACACATGAAAATAATGAGTTTACTTATTGCTCTGTAATACACACATGGTGTGTGTAGCATTGTGTGTGTATGTGTTTGTTTGTGTGTATATATCTGTAAATTAATCATTTGAGGAAATTCACAGGATAGTTGCACAGTATAAATATAAAGAATATATAAATTAAATTATATAAAGGATATGCATATGAATAATGTGTATAATGTATAATATGTTTATAAATTATAAGTATATATGTTAATATAATATGTATAAATATGAATCAGTAGGATATCTAACGTAAGATAAATAGTGCAAAGTAATGTAGGTATATCAAGGTGGAGCAGGGAAATATAGCTATATATATATAGGCTATATATATATATATATGCGATCTAAGCATTTTTGGGAACTCATCATATTATAATACAGCCTATTTAAAATGTCTTTATGGCCCTTAACTGACAAGTTACACACAAATGATATATCTGTCTGCTGTAGCTGAGTGAGGTGAACAGTGAATCTCACCTGCTTTACCTTTTATATCTATGTTTTTTAGACCAACACCCCAAACTCAGCTAAGTATTGTTTAAAAGCTACAATAAATGTCCACAGAGTGAAAGTGATTTGTTTGCATAGTGGGGAAAAAACAACATTTACTCCCAGCAGGGCCTCTCTTTGCTGCATCTGTGTTAAACAAATGTTACAAGTTGATCAGATAAAAGACAACAATGCACCCAGTGTGGATGAGCACAACATTACGGTCCTGTAATTGTGCTTCTGTTTGATGTTTTAGTACTGAGGGAACCTTTTCTTCGAATCTAACTGATGGTGAAGGTAGCTGATATAACCCAGTGTGTGTGGATCTGTGTTTGTGACCTGCTTTCATCTGATGTGTGTGTGTGTGTGTGTGTGTGTAAAGAGGTTTGTAGATTCCTGATTAAATCACTAGATGGCTCTGTCTTCCTTATCTGGTTCCTGTTTTGATAAAATCGGGTTAGAGTTTAGTAATATCATTACATTGAGAGGTGTACTGTTGCTGCTGGCCCCATTTAGCAGGATTTCACACACATCTCAGTACGTTGCAGGACTTTTTTGTTTTTATGGGAGCCCCATGAAACGTTTATTTAATGACATGTCAATCATCATTTTCTCTCCTCTCTATTACACTTGCTACTATCCTACAGATAAAATAACACGGTAATAATAATGAGGTGCTTTGACGATTATAGATTAATAATGCAGTAGTTTAGTTGCAACATATTTAAATTGTGCACAAACTATTATAGAGTGTCTCTGATGGTCATACAAACGTGGAAGTGAAGTATAATTTTTGGTTGAACTGCTCCTTTAATGCAATAATTAGATCAAAGAATAACATCATACATTCTGTTGACCATGATCATAACCTGCAGAGACAGTGTAACTGTCAGTCAGCCCAAATTAACACTGACCATAATTACAGTGAATGTGTGGCACATGAAACACACATAAGAGTGACCAGGAGTGTGTGTGTGTGTGTGTGTGTGTGTATGTGTGTTGATCCAGGACCCTCAACATGCAAGAATTTACTGTGTTGGCTTCAAAGTCATCCCTTCTATATTTTTAGATTGTGTTAACTGTATAACACTTGTGGAAAAACACTTAACATAATGTACTTTGAGGCAGATTTCTTTATGTATATGATCTCACACAGGCTCAATATCTGTTTCCCTCTGAGTGTTTTCACTGTGTAAGATAAAGAACACACATAATCAATTAAAAAATAGTTAAAGCAGAATGTTCCTAAGTTTGTACATTTATGGCTGTACAGTATAAGTATATAAATCTGGTCAAAGTGACGTAGCTTTTCAGCATATTCATTTTGTTCCAAACTGCAGAGTCATGCTGGCGACAAAGCTTGTTTTTTCAGATAAATCGATTTCCCTTTTATCTTTGCCAGACAGGGAAATCGCACTGTAGACAGATTAAATTAAACTTTAGATTAAAGAGGTTGTGTCTGCTGCTGTGTCCGGCCATATCTGCACCTGTGGGCAAAGTGGGTGTATGTAGAACAGCAGGGTGACAGGATGTTTCTGTCACTCACAGAACATGCCCGTGTCAAAGTGGAGTGGAAGTGGTTTTCTGTAGACCTTGTTCTTGAGTCCTGGCACAGATACTCTTAAACACAGCGACTGCTAACTTTGTTAGTCTATAATAATATAGGTGTGTCTTGTTTTTGTGATCCAGACTGCAGCATAGAATTCATTGTGTAGAAATGTGCAATGGACACTCAAGTGAGAGGTTCACGGTGGCATTTAAGTATTCTTTTGATAATGGTGGAGGTTTTAAATGAGGCATTGTGGTGCTTTAATAGGTGATGTAGAAGCTGGTGAACCGGTGTGAACCTAACACTGTAGCAGCTGACTTTGACGGCTGACAATGTTGTGCCAAAAACAGATTCTGTGTGACACATGCAAGCAACATGGGAGGAGAACGCCACTGCTGGAACACCCTGGGCTAGATAGTGTGCACCTTTTGCAACTCATACTGATTTTGGTGCAGAAGCAGACTGAGAGAACACTGGATGATGTGTGATCCTCTATTTAAATGTATTCAACCGTCAAAGACAACAGGATGTGCTTGCATTAGAACCATGTTTTATTGAAGCTCAAATGGACGTACATCCTGTTTTTGTTTGGCAGTACATTCTGTACTTCTTGATTTGATGACAAAAGAAAAATAAATTCAGTGAGCGGGGTTTAGTTTCAGCTTGTATCTACGAAACACATATCAACATCAGTATGAACCAGACGAATAAGCACAACAAGCAGTTTACTAATGGCTGAAGGGGAGAGGGCAGATGTATCAGCCACTGACCCAGTGCTGTATGTTCTGTGCTGTTGTTGGGGTAACTCAGCATTAGGACTCTAGTGTTACAGGCAGATCTCTGCCCTTGGGACTCATGCTGGGCTGCAGCAGTGCACCCAGAAGTAATGTAACTTAAACCTCATGGTGCTTATTCAGTATGGCCAATTACACTTTTACGAGGCTGCAGCCCGCCCATCATTCCTGCGTGTGAACACACTGAGTGATTTTCCACTGAACCTGTAGGTTAGATATGTAAGAGCGGCAGCTGCACATGTTTCTGCATGTGAGCGGAGCAGCAGTAAAGAAGCACCAGTGGGAGATACATTAACCATATTTGTACTTATTGAACATAATTTTGCCACTAGTTGGGATAGTTAATCAAGTTAAAAATGGTAGCTCTTTAATATATATGTCTGAAGTTGATGTGATGGCACTGCAGAGACATTATTTAACTAATCATCCCTTATGGAAAGCTGTAAAGCGTGTATTGGCATATGTCAGTGTATATAATATTAACCTTTATTAAACCTACATAAGACAACAAACCTTAATGGACAACAACAACACCGGATTGGGTCCATTGAAATGGATCCAGGTCAGGCTGCACAGATATATGTGTTATATGTGTTTTTTTTGTTTTTTTTAGTTAATGTTACATATATAACTCGGGCAACCAATGAGAGCTCAGCTAGGTGCAACATGACAACCGCGATTGGCTCCTCGCTATATCCCCCGCCCCCATATTTAATAGCTTAGTTCATATTCATAAGGAGAGTGCAAGGCCCGCCAATCGGCCCCGCGGGAGGGCGGGGCTAGACGGCCCGCCCCGCCCATTTTCAACTACGTCAACCGTGCTTCGTTCAGGACCAGTAGGAACTTTTGGTGGTCGACAACGTCCTTTGACGAGGTGCATTTTGTTCTCAACACCAAAACCCTCCGGATCACTTCACTTTCCGAGGAAGTGAGCTAACGCAGCGAGCTGCCGGGAATGTATTGACGGTCGCAGTCACACATTAGCGTGGATTTTGTGTATTTTAAACGATTATTTAGAGTGAGGGTCGGCGGTGAGACCGGCTGGATAGCTTACTGACGTTATCGAGCAAACAGGACAACTGGGGAACTTCTGTGTCAACGAGGCTGAAAATGTCAGGAGAGCCACTTATCATCACAATGGAAACAGCCACGGGGGCCCCCAGTTCTTTCCCCGTGGTTTTGAAGAAAATAATGGAAATGCCTCCGCCGAATATACTGGACGGCGACGACGGTAAATGCAGTACATTCACGGAGGGGAAGCAGCGATGTAGGGTAAAAACGAGCTCAGCCGAAAAAGACCGAAAGCTTTTAAGTGGGGGAAAAATAACGGTGTCATAACAGTGTAACCGACACGGATACCTCATTGGTGTTGTTTTGAATAACTTATATACACAGGTCTCTCTTATAACGATGGGAGAGAAGCTTTCTGAAGCGCCAGGAAGAAGCAGTTGTGTTGAAATAAACAACCCCAAATCGGTCACCACGGTAAAATAGGTTTACCGATTGTTGTTATTGATCTCTGTAAGACTTGTGTTATGGAAACGGATCACCTCTTGAAAGAGTCTGCGGTTCAGTTTTAAATAGTGAGGCGGGTTGAGGGACACTGTGGCCCGCCTCAACACGCAGACGTTTCTAGACGCCCCTCGGTTTAAATGCGGTTTTGTTGACGGAAAGTTCCTCCTTTCCTTTCCAGTTGCAATGATTTAGTGTTTAGTTGCCAGCATGAGTTCTGAATACAAGGAAGTCTATATTATTGTGTATATAATATTGTGTCTGATGTTTATGAAGGAAGGTTCTTACTGTGTTCTCCAGAAAACATTTCAGCATGGTCATAAAACTTGCATTGGATAAATCCTAAGTTAGTGTGCACTTTTAGTGGTTTAGAGTGCTCATACAGTATTTATGAACAGTAAATGTTTCTGTACAATATGAATGTGCAGTAAAGGACTTCTTTACATGGATCCAATCAAAAGATTTCCATATCTGCTGTAAGTGAACAATGATGTGGCTGATATCCCGACGGACAGATGAACCTCAGCAAACATCGGCTGGATGCAGTGTTTTCTTTAGCAGTTTGCAGATGAGAATTTCATTAGCAGCTGTGGAAGCAGTGAGGTTGTGAAAAGCTGCAATAAAAACTTGGGGTTTGGTGCTCATTTCTGTATGGGGTTTCTCAGGAGAGGAAAAATAAATCCTGTCATACTTCCTGAAAAACAGTAAACTTTCAATTGTGCTTTACTTCAGCAGTTTTCCTGTTGGCCTCTATGCGATTAGACCAAAACTCATGACGGACGTGTTCACACATTTCCCAAAGCTGTCTCGTCTATATCTAAACGTGTGTCTTCCCTGTGTATCCTTTCTTGTGCTTCAGACACCGACAAAGAAAAGCTGTGTCTGGGAGATGATGTTGACCTGGGTGGAGGAGGCAGCGATATGGGTCCTTCAGCCGCCCTGACCCCCGCTATCTGGGAGAAAACCATTCCCTATGACGGTGAAAACTTCCACCTGGAGTACATGGACCTCGAGGAGTTCCTCATGGAGAACGGCATCCCCACCTTGCCAGACGTGGACTCTCCAAAGGGCAGCCCAGAAGGAAGCTCCATGAAAACAGGGACAGTAAAGGCCGCACAGAAAAAGGTTACAAAGCCAGCAAGCGTGTCCCCAGTGGCCCTGCTGCCCATTCAGGAACTGGACAAGTGTGAGCAGGAAGTGGTGATCCTCACCAAGTGCGACTCTGATATCATCTGCGATGTTACTACAGGTGAGTGGAGGCTGGAGGATCAGCGACTGCAGTGTTTCACTAAACTGTTGCTGAGTGTGCTTTACAAGGCAGAAAACCAGATGTTCAGGTTAAGTGAGGTGACTCTAAACAAGTTGACGTGACAGTTTACCATGTTATTCAGATCTACATTTAGAAAGCTATTGACCCAATTAGAATATTAAAATATGCTGGCATCAATGAAAGAGCGCCTCAGCACTACAGCCTTCAAATCGAATACCAATGCTTTTAACCTGGCTGCTGTTCACTTTTTCTACTGAACACCGGTTACCTCAGAAATCTTTGCATCTGGTTTCCATATTGAAATTATGTAGATTTATTTCGCTCTGCCACGAATGTGAGACAAACCTGATATGCTGAAGTGATCCTGAAACAAGCCACGGGTGGTGAAGGTTGATGGGACGACAGAAATAGCTGCTGGAGCCCCTGCATAGCAAACATAGTAGAGTTAACTATGGGATGATCAGCAGTCGGTACGTGTGAGAACACTCACCCACCCTGCATACATAGCAGGACAAGAGGCCTTGGTGCAGATCACCTGTAAACCAGCAGCACCTCTTATTTCACCAAATACACTGATGATAGATAGAGCTGGCCGATTCCCTGTGAAGCCACAAAGTAAAGCATAGAAAAGATCTTAAATTACCCAACAACTTCCATAAGTTTCTTTAAAAAATGGGTGCTGACAGCTCTCATGTTCCTCTTCTGTCTGCTCAGAGGTGATCACCGAGACAGACAGAGCGACGCCCGAGCCCATCAGCCCCGATGAGATCGAGGTGGATGTCAACTACGAGCCAGATCCCACTGACCTGGTCCTGTCCAGTGTGCCTGGAGGCGAGCTGTTTGACCCCCGCAAACACAAGTTCTCTGAGGAGGAGCTCAAGCCACAACCTATGATCAAAAAGGCCAAGAAGGTGTTTGTGCCTGAAGAACAGAAGGTATGCTGGGAGGGAGACAACAGGGGGCTCAACAGGGCTTCAATATTTAGAGTTGCACACTCAAGCTTTTATAATAATTAACTTAACATTTGAAAACGTATGCTGTTTTTCCAGAATTTCTTACTGAGTGAAAACAGCAAAATAAACTCCACTTCTAATAACAGGTGTACAGCTGTATGTTGGAAGAACTTCATGTTCTAATGAGTGGTGTCTATAATCATGTTATGGTGTAATATTGATTTGTAGTTTGGACACTATGATACAAAAAATGTCTTGCAGTGTAAGTCAACCACATAGCGAGTAATTAGAATGGTTTAAAATGGCAACTTTTATAATACATTATGATCATTTCCCATGTGCCACTGACTCATATTTACTTAATACTCTGATACTTAGAATAGGGATTGTTTATCAACCTCGAGGCATGCAGACAAAAATCTTACAAATTTGATATCAACTTCCCAGTGCACAGTGGTGTAAGACAGTACACATTTGAGCCACAGCAGTTCTGGCGACTCACAATGACTCAGCAGTCACATAATCATCAAATTGATGTTTTCCTTCCCCCCCCGAGTCCGCCTGAGACCAGTGTTTTGTTTACATGCACAAAAGAGCCTTGCTGTCGGCCGTACTATACACATAGCTGATGTCAGAATTGAGCTAATATGTTGATGAAGAGCTATACAAGGCTGTTTGACCGGGTTACCGTAGTAACCAAAGTCAGAAAGCACCGTAGGGTCTGGTGTTGTGTTTCTTTGACTGCGTCCAACCGTGCTGCTCCTTTTTTTTTCTCCACCTCTCCAGGATGACAAGTACTGGCAGAGAAGGAAGAAGAACAACGTGGCTGCCAAACGCTCACGTGACGCCCGCAGGTTGAAGGAGAACCAGATCACCGTCCGAGCAGCCTTCCTGGAGCGCGAGAACGCGGCGCTGCGGACGGAGGTCGCAGAGCTGCGGAAGGATTGCAGCTGCTACAAGAACGTTGCGAGTCGCTACGAAGCCAAATTTGGGCCGCTGTAAGGGACCACGAAAAGCAAATACACCAAACCTTGGACATTCATATTGACAGTATCAGTCACTTTGTTTTCACACGTCAGCTTAGAGGCCGACGGATACTAAACCCACTGTACTGCTGAGAAGACAGGGTTTAACTGTTACAGAGGGGGTTAGCCACGGGGGAGGAGGAAGAGGGTGGGAAAGAGAGGCACATTTGTTAAATCTGAGCGGGCAGTCCATCTGAAAAGGTAGACCCCCTCCTGACCAGAGGTGGGTCAGACACCGCCTGGGTAGAAATTAGTCTCATGTAAATGTGGGTTCAGTAAACTGGCGCCACGCAATCCTGTATGAAAATGAGACAGATGGAGGAGTGTGAACTGTTACATGTTATAACTGCAGTTATATGGACTGATGTACAAATACAGTGACGCATTACTCAGCCTTTATGTCCAATATTCTACTTTACAATATGAATAGTTTATACTTCAACCTCTTGATTCACTGATTGACCCACAGTGGCATTATACATCAGAGCTCATCTATTTGGTACAAAAACAAAACCATGTGATCTTGTGAATGGTGTTCTCGCTGTTTTAATGTTGACCTCTCTCCTTCCTTCTCCACCCCTCCTCCTCCTCCTCCTCCTCCATTCTTGTTCTCTTCTCTTTCAAGTGAGGTGGAAGAAGACCAATAGGCAGCACTTGATTTATTCATTTGTTTTTCTGAGGAATAAATAAATCAAACCACTGGGGATGGTATGTGAAAACGCTAGAATCGATCAGACGAAGAAGAGGAGGAGAGCGTGTGTGAGGGTGTGATGTTGCCATGGAGATACAATAGCATGTAAAGACCTGATAGGGTTTTTATTTCTTTTATTTGTTATTTTTTTAATGAATTCTATTTACCATCTGTGTGAGATGAGTGCGAGCGGATATTAAAGTGCTTCTTCCGTACACTTCTTTTATCAAGTGTACTTTTACGATGTTTTGTATGCCTTTGGCCGAATGAGATCATTTGTGACGTTTATTTTGGAGAAACTATGGGATTTATTTTAATTTTTTAAAACAAAATAGCTAACACTTTAGTAGCAATTGCAATAGCTTAGACTAAATCTGTTGGTCGTTATTATAGTATTGTAGAAATAAACTGATTTGCAGGTTGCTTCCAGTTATTTCCACGTTTAAGTTTAAGACCCACCCACATTTTTATTTTCAAATTTATATTATGTGGCAGATTACGTGAAGAGCTGGGCTTTTCTACGCCCACAGAAACTTTTGACTGTGACATTTCCAATAATTTAAGCTTCTTCAGGGGATTGCAGTGACGTGGCAAAAAACAAAACAAAAAACAGGCGGCCACGTTCACTTATCTTCATGTACAAGTACTCACGACCAGCAGCAGAGAGCTGTACATAAACGTCTCCATGTGTCAATGTACGTCTCTCACAGTCGCTCCTGTGCCGTTTTTGTCACAGAGTAGGACGCCCTGCTTCCCTCCCTGCAGGTGCTCAACGTTGGCTCGTCCATTTCCGCCAGTAACGCTTCAGAAGTGTTGTGTGTAGAATCCACTGATGCATGTACTGTAAATAGTTGTAGCCTAACATACTTTCTATACGTCAGACTCGGATACAGTGCAAGTTAAATTTTTGAACTACTGTCAAGTTTTAGATACATATCAAGCAATTACAATGCAATTGTACATTTATTGCCTGAATATAAGAGATCACATCTTCATCATAATGAGTGATTAATGTCTCAGAATCTGTGTTAAAAGGCAGACTGCTGAATGCTAACAGGGCTTTAATTAGTGACTCTCCAAAGGCAGTTGGAGGTGAAGTGTGCTGGCATCAGCTGTGAGGCCAATATGAAGCATGTTGGCTGCTGGTTAAACTTAAAAGAATCACAATATATTGCTTGAAATGAACAATCAGTTATTCAAAAACTTGACTGGGAGTGTATGTGCATTTAGATTGTAACTGTGCTGCTGGACACATTTATCAGTCTGTTCTTTCTGAGGCTTGTAGGCTGGCACTGTCTGTTGCCAACGGATGTTTTATAATTGTTTTTTTTTTTGACAGACCAGGAAGCATCAATAGGTGCAGACTGTATTGGGGCTTTCATCAACAAGGAACCCCCAGAACTCGCCATTTCAATGCAGTGTGCAGTCTGACAGTTTACAGGGGAGGCGCTTCTGTGTAACAACCCAAATTAGAGTTGTGACTTAAACCAGGGTTATTTTACTGTCCGGTTCTGACAAAAATGGGAAACTGTTATTTTGTTATTTTGCTGCTGTGCTTCCATCCATAAATATGGTGAGTTTTTACCGAAAGGATTCAATGTTCATTGTCTTTTTTTAGGGAAAGGGTTTCCATGTATGAAGAATGTTCAAGCAGAAAATACTAGTAAGTTTAAACCTTTTTATAGGTTATTTTTTTATCATTACAACCTGCAGTACATACAGCTGTCTGTTCTTACATTGTGCTTTTTTTTGTTCACGTTAACAGACATGTTTAATCTTTGTTGACCTTTATCACGAGATCTCTGAAGTGTAATTTTTAGAGTAATTCTGAGCTTCCTGACTGGTTTTAATAATTTTCTAATGCTTTCTGCTATAATACAGGTTGCATCTGCCTTCTATCTGGAACAGGTCAATTTGTTAACTTTGAGGGGTTGTTTTTAACCTTCCTGGTTCCGTCTTTGTATTTCTTTGTAAAGAAACATCATGGCATTTTGAGTGTGGCTACTTTTTGTGTCTTGTATATACAGTATGTATAAATAAAGCCTTGTTGAGAACATCTGTAAGTGTTGAGCTCTTTCCTTTTCTAGATGTTTCTTTAGATTTTATCATGGAAAAGTGAATTTAGAAGACCTAATATACATAATTAAAGCTCAGATCCACAGTGAAGTCCAATGGTTCAGTGAGTTAACTCTGACTCAGTAACTCTGACTAGTATAGAAATATGAATACCAGACTACCTTCTGATTATATATAATATATAAATTAGTATTTGATTGTATTCTAGTGTTTACATTTCTTCTATTGTCTTTTGATTTGCATCAAAGTGTAAATAAAATGTCTCAAGACAAAACCATTGAATTAAAACAGTTTCAATATAATTTATGGGTTCTGTTTGTGTGGAGTTTCTCCAAGCAATACACTTTCATCTGTCAATGCCTCAGCACTGTTTGCTCTCAATCACATATTTTATGTGAGTCTCTATGTATGTAGAGTAGCCAATCACTAATGGTTTAGTTTGGAGTGTAGATACAGGTCAGTGTGAGCTGTTGGAGTAAGCAAAAGCAGACAGCGTGAAACATTGCCATCTGGTGGATGAGGCTTAGGGAGAAGATGTGAAGGAAAAAGCTGGACAAATGAAGAGAGAAATATAAAAGAGAGCTTTATTGACAAGTCAAACAAAATGTTTCTTGAGGTTCCAAAAAAAAATAAAAATACAGAAACACTTTAAAAAAAAAAAAGGTCTGGGACGTAGCGTCTTCACCTCTTCTTGAAGCCGTACTTCTTCCTCTCATAAAACAGATCTGTTTTAGAGCTGCCCAAGTTTACAATCTTCGGACAGCCATCTCTCTGTGAAGGGAACAGAAAAAGGAGGCTCTTTAAAAAACATATTCATCTCAAAGAAGACAGTTTAGAAAAGTGCTGTTCATTTCCTTAAAGGACCAGTGTGAAGGGTTCAGTGGCATCTGGCGGTGAGATGATATATATGATATGATATTCAGTTGGTGATCGTGAAACTTATGACAAACATGAAAGGCCCTATCTAGTGTGCTGTAGGAACAGGGCGGTTCAATATGGCGGACTCCTCAAAGAGGACCTGCTCCCTCTGTTGATAAAATCAGCTCATACTAAGGTAAGGAAAACACAATGACTCTTATTTTCAGGTGATTATACAACTAATGAAAACATGTACTATGAATATTATATTCCATTTCTGCCAATAGATCCTCGCTAAATGTCAACACACTGGACCTTTAAATCCTTATAACGGTCTCTTTTCTATTTAGCTGCTTCAGTAGTTGCTTAAGGACACTCACGTCTTTCTCCTGGATGGTGCACTCTTTACAGTAGTAGGCATCAGATACTCCAGGCCCTCCACAGATGACACAACGCCCCTGATAAGAGCCGTAGTTACACTCATCACAGATGCGCACCAGTGTGCACGGCCTCACATAGGAATCACAGATGACGCATTTTCCATCACCTGAAGGGAGAATGGTGAGAGGATTAAGAATTTAGTAGTTGTCTAGTATAACTTCATTACTGGTTGTATCAAGTAGTGATAGACCGATTAATCAATCAGCTGATTTACTGGCATTTTGAGATAATCGCACTGGCTGACGGCTGTGCTCACGAGGCGATAAACAAAAGTAGTCTGCAGGCAGCCTCGTGAGTGTGGCTGCTTTGGGGCAATGTGAGTGCTCTCCCTTGTGAAAAGGTTAGTTTGGAGCCTTTTACTATAACTCTACATCCATCTGTCAGTGTTTGCCTTCATTTATTCAGTCACCATTATCTTTCTACAAAATGACAGTAAATGTAACCATAAACCGTTTCTGCCTAGTGTTTAATATATATTATGTTAGAACGTGTATAATAATGCAGTTGAATGACACACACACGTGTATTTAAGCATAACCAGGTTAAAAATTAACTAACTGTTCCCAAATTCTACTCTTCCAATTGTCCCAGACTTAATTAACTCTCCCAAAAGGTTATTCTTTTTCCATTTTACCTAAGTATATTAATAACTTTGGTTTTTCAGTAACTTATCGGCCTCACTGTGCGTCTGCCATTGCAAGTTTGTTCCCTGTACTGGCATCTGAATAAAAAACTGAAAGCACCCTAGGAGGTGTTTGGTCACAATCAGTGTTTATTACTCTCAGTTATTGGCTGAGTTACTGTTTCTCGGTTATTTCTCTTCCATCAATAAATGCATCAGTGCAATCTGCAGTGCAAATGCAAACCTATTTCTGATCGGAATACAGCCGTGGAAATTTACAAGTATAACCCAGTGTATTTTTCTATTTCATTAATCAGTGAACATTCACTCTAATAATGGAAGTATACATTACTTTAGTTGCTTTTGATATACAATCATTATATTGGCCATCGGCCTATAAAACGTATTGAAACTATCAGCAACTCAATGAGATATCTCTGAGCATACCGTGTGTATGTGAATGTGTGTGATGCTGCAACTTAAAGCAAACCTTTTGTATCTGAATATTACCACACTGATCACCAACACTAGAATCACACACTTGTAGGAATGTCAAAGGTTTAACAACAATGTGGAAGTAAGTATACAGAAGGTTAGTATGACTGTAATATGTCATTAATTGTACAAGAGATTAAAGTACACCTCTCTCTCTCTCATTTGGAGGTGGTGTTAGAGTGCAAACAAAGCAGAAAGTAAAGATGAATTCAAACTTGTGACAGCAGGCTTAGATAATTACAATAAGCTTATAGGAAAGCACATGACTGTTAAAACACTCAGTTTGTTGGATGAATCGTAGATGCAAACACTTACATTTCTCGCAAAGTCTCCCGATAGCTGAGGAAAGACAACAAAGCAGCCAGTGTTAGCTCACATCGTCCTTTTAACGTTACATTAAAGCGAATAACCTTTATCATTACCACATTTACTGTAAACTATATGACCAAATACACTGAACTCATATTCTGTGCAGCCAACATTAATCATCTTAGCGATATTTATGCACTTATAGACATTTCTAGGCTAACACCATGGCTAACGTTACGTTCAATGAATCCATGCTGTTCCCGTTAGCATGGAAGCTAACGTTATCTCGAGTAGAGCAACAATAATGGACATCGAGCTGCAGCAGAAACAACAGTTCAATAATGTGCGAAATTAAATAGGTTGAAACTTACCGACACCGGCTTGTTTTCTGCAGAAGATCAAATCTGGATGATGTTTAGCCATTGTCGGCTAACGTAAGGAGAGCGCTGCTGACTCGCTTCAACTTTCACCTTTGACCGGTGAACTCTGAATGAGGAGTTGATTACCGCCACCTCGCGTCTCCACAAAGAAACACAAAAGAAAACAATTACAGACTGTTTTTTGTTTGTTTTACCAAAAAAAAATTACAATCATTTATTTTCACTCAAATTCAGGATCGTGTAGGACTTTTCTCTTTATAAATATAAAGTTTAAATAAACAAAAATGTCCTCATCCTACCAGTTGTGTAAAACTCAATCACATCAAAAGTCTATCTTGCATAGGTGAGATTCCACTTTTTATTCCATTAAATGTAGAAGCGATTTAAAACTCAGATCAACACATCTAAGATTAAATCACGCTGTATAAACAATCTAAAAATAAAATGTAAGTGCCGTAAACATTTTGTCCTTAAAGGACCTGCGTCACCGCTGCTTACAAAGCCGTGACGTCACCGCCGACCGACACATCTTTGTCAGTGAACAAAATGGCAACCTACTGTCTCACTGTCGCCCGGCTCCAGGTAAGTGGCGAAAAATGATATTTTTAAACAGTATTTATAAATGTGTGAAGGATGTCACCTGCTGTAAACTCTAGGTAACGTTTATCTTGCCTAATTAAAGCTCTGAGAGCGGTTGCTGGGGGTAAAGCATGTGTGAAGCAGTCACTGGCTAGTTGTTCAGGTCATCGTGTCCTGACGGCACTGAACGCATCCAGTATGCAGCAACTAATTTATCAATGGCTTACTAAAACACTGCTAATGTCTCCGTTTACTATCACTCACTACAGACATCCTCAGCCCTCAGACGAACATAGCTAGTTTAGTTTTAGAAGTGGTGTGTGGTGTTTAATAGCAAGGTTAAACACAAGGTTAGAGCTCCCAGTGGACGAGAAGCGTGTGAAAGACACACGTTTGTTAAATAATAGGAAACAATACAACACACACAGACGAACCCATTCATTATTTTTGGATTGTTTTAAGTGAAAGCAATTCATCCAGTCTGTTTAAAAGTGAACAAGGTGTGTCATACGTCCAATAACGTGCTGTAAATAATTGTACAGCTGTCCTATTCAACTCGTACTATCTGAATCCAAAAGCTCACTTAGATGTCTACATCGAGCTGGGTGATACAGAAGCTAAAGAGCAGATAACCATGACACTCTAATAATGATATAATATAAACATAATGAACAATATCTTTGAAAAGCACATTGTCTAGTTCATGACATTGGACTGACAGGTATTGTTTGTGAAACTCTTGAAGACCCTTCAGACAGTAACAGCTGGGCATCGCAACTCATACATATTATCACAGTTTGCATTAAATATCAATAAATTGCAAAGCCTTAACCGAACCCTTCATTTGCTCTAGATTATGTTTAATGATGTTTTAACAACAACTCAGTTGATTGACAGCACCAGTCAGCTGATTAATGGTTGTAGGTTCAGCTGCTGTCACTTCTCTCACTGGAGGACACTTCATCTTTAGCACACATGGTCTGGTCGTTTAAGACCTTCAGTTGTTGTTCTCTTGCATCTTCATCGATAACTTATTTATCTATTTGGTGGAAGTCTACTGTCGGGCTTTCTCCTTCCTGGTAATACTTTTTGTCTTTCTGTTTTACAGTCACACATTGGTACATATTCAAAGAGAGAAGTTTTATACAAAAAATATAATTTAAGCCACAACAACGTCTCAATCCGCTCTTCCAAAAAGAATACAAAAATGTGATTTGTTTGGGTGAGGGCTAATCTGTTTGTTTAGGCTGAGGTTACAGCACTGTGTGTGTGTGTGTGCGTGTGTGTGCGCTCTGTGA